CTAGACAGTAAGTTCAAACCTCACCAATGAACCATTTGATTCGATGTCAGTGCCCACACAGTATTGTGGACTACATCTGAACCACATTCAGTGTAATAAAGGATACTTATTCACGATTCAACTTTGCTCGCACGAGGTAGTAAAACACACTGAAAACTCACAAAATAAAACGAACAGCGGAGAAAGTATATGCCATATATCAGTTTGACAGAACAAGTAGTATCTTCTCGAAGAATAGATACAAAAACATTTAGACTTACTAATCCAATCTTGAGTGTAGGCATTACAAACTAGCAGTGGTGAAATATAGGTGAATGACACAAGTAGTTAGAAAATTACCTCAGCATTTATCTGAAATCGGTTTAGCAGTTTTGGAGCACGAATTTATCAGTGCTTATACTGTTGGGTCATCATTAGTAACATAAACACACAGTTGTCATTTTACGAGTGTTGTAAAACTTAAATCTTCCATACAGAAATTTAAGCGATGACATGTAACTGACCACAATTAAAGTGTCTAGGGAAATAAGGCTAGAAAATCATTGGTAGAATAAAAAATCACCTATAAAATGGTGCAGCAATAATGTTAGGCGGTTTGCAGTAGTCAGGAAGAAACTCTGGACCTAGCATGATCGACAGAACGTGATCAGTACTAAAAGACTCAGTAAAATCATAAACTACAGTGATACAAACGTACAATACAGCAATGGCAATAGTATTTATTATTATTCTTACTATTATTATGAAAACTTGACTTTGAAAATGTACTCACGGGAAGACAAAACTCCTCAAATGCCGGTTTAACGTATTTAAAGTAACTATCGAGTACGGAATCCAAGCAACGACCTTTCATAGAAACATCTCTTAGAACTACAAAAAATTTACATTTTGTTATCTTTTCTTAAAAAATACCTTTTCTGCAAAGTCTAGTGTCTGCATCTGATTCAATGAAGACTTTTAAGTCAAACATGTCTCTGACTTCTTTTTGATAAAACGTTAATATTCCTTCTACGATGACAACATCTACATCATCTGGGACCTCCTGAACATCCGGGGTACTGAAGACTAGTACTTAAAATGTTGATTCTATACCTCGAATAAGCAGAGCAGTCATATTTGTGAAGGACCACAGGTTCTCCTTGTTTTATTTTCTTTAAAACCTCAGCCAAATATTTGAAGTCGAACGAATCTAAAAATATGTAAGAGAAACTCAAATAAAACTAAATCAAGATTGTGAGAATATAAAGCGTCTAGAATTTCTAGCATATTGTCAACTACCTCCATGATTATACACACCTTTATATTTATATTAAAATGAAGCCATTAAGTTTAATATTTTGTAGTGGGCACCCATTCAGATATCCTCTGTGAAAAACAGCTCAATAAATTATATTACACATAATTCACTCCACTTAGAAACCTGGAAAAAAGCTTTAAATGTAACTACAAACTTCCAAGCAATCGATTATGATTAACAAACAAGAAACTATTCAGTTTGATAGTGTTGAAAGTCACGAACTATTATTACTAGTGATTTTGTACAAAGACGGATAGAAAACAAGAAATAAAAAGCATCCAAAAACTCCTGAGCTAAGATTGATCTAGATTATAACAGAATCCGTGAGATTCAAAGAACAATGATCTAAACATATAACTCAGGCAATCTCGAAATATTAAGACCTTGATTTTAACAAATTTTCGAAACCTATAATTGCAATGAAACCCAGTGTGAGCTGCACTTAATTCTCCAAAATGAGTTTTATGAATAAGGTACTCTGAAAGCTCAAAGTTAAACTCATAACTAACAAAATTTAATTTCTGAACTAATTGCTATGTGTTACGTCTTTTAGTGCAAACACTTATAAAGACAAACCACCAATGAAGAACTCACTTGGATGGTCGAAGTCAAACTCACTATTCAGGGCTAATTTGAGTTCCTCATCAGAAAGTTCACGATAAAACGATGACAGGGAAAGGACTTCAACTTTCTTCCCTTTTGCTTTTCTGTATAAGACATCCTTTATCTTCTTGCATGCCTCTGCCTACAAGCATTGTTTATTGAACTTAAAATTACTTTTCCTGAAGCGGCTCCTCCACTAATACCAATCAGAAAAGGTTTGGAAGCTGTCTGTGCCATTCCGAGGATGCCCAAGGTCATTAACTTACTTGCGTGGACTAAATTTCAATCCTTCAAGGTAGGACGTTATCCTAGAGGAGCAACGACAGAATGTTGTTCAAATGGTTTTGGACGGAACAGAAGAATTTTCAAAACCATCTTCACTACGAATATCCAATATTGGATATTCGTAATTTTAAATAGTGAATTGTTTACGGAAAAAAACATCGAATTGTATGTTTGAGGCATATTTTAAAGTTTTGGATTTTGTCTTGTGAGATTCAAGTGTGTGGCAGGAAATTACGTCTATTCAAAAGACAAACTAACTCCCAAATTTAACTGACGAAAGATGAATTCTGCCTACTACAAAACAACCTTTGTTCCGAGAAGCAAAGTGAGTTGTTCTTAACAAGCGAGTAATGAATTCGTGCATGAGTCAATTTTTAGAAACATCTCAACAGTCATTCCTGTTCCAGATGATCCATAGGAATTCAGCTGCGGTTGTATACCAACCCATGAACGTAAACGACCTTATGCAACGTCGTCCATGCATCCCGTGACTCACAACTACCTGAGATGTTTAATTGTTACATTTAAAATAAACTATATAGCCAGTAAGATATCTTCAAATCATACACACAACTTTCTTTGGACCTTTAAGACTATTAAAAATACTTTCTGTACTGAAGACTACGTGCCAAACAATTTAGTGTGTTCTTAGGCTTTGATTCAAAGTCAAGATGGAGTGAAAAATTTCCAGCACTCCAATCTTGCTTTTGAAAACCTTCAAAACTCCGTCACCTTGAAAATCCCGAGATGTGAAGATGAATCCAGCTCATTAAACTTTTTAAAGAACAATTGAGATACTGAAGGCATCCTCTCACCCAAATGTTGATGGCTTTCCTAGGACTTGGAAATAACCACAATGAACCTTCAACGCACATCAAACTGATTTTCTAGTTATTCTAAACAAATTTATGTGAACCACTTTGTCGTCGTGGAACTAGTGGTACATCGGAATTCTGACAAAGTGAAATCAGTCATGCTTTACGACAATGAAGATTGCACCCAATGCGACTAAGATAAGTTTTGGAAAAAATTATCGGTTCATCCACACAAAACATTAAAACACCTTGTAAATTCTGAATGGGTGAACCCTGTGTGTTAGGATGGTTTTTTATAGGTACAACTGAACGTTTTTGGCTCTACAAATTTCGTTGGTCAAGCTCACATTATTTAAATATGGTTGAAGTGTACCAGGGCGACTACGTAACAGAATTGATTAGACGTCACTGAAAATTTGATGTGGTAGACTATATGCTCTCTTTTTTTGGTCACGTCATTTATCAATCTGGTTGTGTAATGTTTGTTTTGATTTGCATATCAACTGTTGTTACCCATACCAGGGTTCAGTTATCCCTTCTGCCCTGACAGTCATGATGGCCAATTATTAGTTTTATGAATTCCGTGTAATTATTTGGTCAACCCTATCAGTAAGTCGCAACCGATGCAAAAGTAAGTAGAGAAAAACTCTTACATCCATCTAGACTCTAAATTGAGGTAAAACACATTTGGTAAAGAATTCCTACCATTTTAGGAAGACCGACAGTTCACGACTTGCATTGACCACTAGTCATTCTCACTTTTGATGTCACTTGACAAGTGTTTTTCGCTAGGTTTCAGTCAACTGAACGTTGTTTTACCGTTTACGTATTCTGTGTGGTTTGGAATCGAATAGACTGACCATATGCTTCCGTTTTAGTAACTTTCGTGTGAGGTGTATAAAAACCTATATAATTAGATATAATTAGAGTTTAGCTAACTAAACGATCCATCTATACCTAAAGATAATACACCTGTGCTAAAACAATACCATCCTAACCACTTCAATAATATGTGCATGTTGTTATATTCCGATTTTCATCTAAACTTCAAGCCCTTCGCACAGCGGTTTTTATGTCTTGTAACAAATAAAGATATAAATGAATGAGCGCGCTGCTAGGTACTTATTATTTATCTGATTATTTACCGAAACCCACCACTCTCAAATCGTCAAATCAGCTTCAGTTCAGCACATGCTCTCAGTGCAAAAAGCTCTCTCACTATAAATCTCTGTGGAAGAGCAAACAAGATTATTACATCTCCAGTCTTCAACGATGAAGATTGTAGGTTAATGGATCTGTGTTGATTCTTACAAATCGGTTTCCAGTGAAGTCCCGGCTTTTCCCTGAAAATGATCACTGGTGGGGTTATTACCGCTTGCTTGAAAAGATGTTGAAGTCATTGACCGATCTATGAGAAAGACGGGACCCCTATCTCAGTTTATTAGATCTCGATTCTAGAACCTTATACTATGGCCTCGAGGATTATTAACCCTGCATGAAGAGAAATGATGAGATAAACCAACACCCATCGTAATTAAAAATACGAAATGTCAATATAAGTTCACCTCGCGTCCTAAGATACGATGAAAGAAAAAGTTCGGGCTTTTTGAGCGCTTTTCATAAGGAGTTTTGGAAAGACCCTTCATTAATTTTGTTCCTTCAAGCTGGACACGCTCTAAAGAGTTAGTATCTTTAATGAGACACAGCCAAGCCGCTTCTGATCAAGAGGCTCTAAACCATAATTAACTATCGAATTCAATATAGTCACTGTAGTCAAGTAACTAAACTACCCACATTGAACGATGCCAAAGACCTGAAAACTCACAGTAGCATCAAGATAACTAGATATAATAGCTGAGAGCGATGGTATTGGGTGTTTATCACGAATGAAACCTCATAACATTAACACAAAAAACATGTTTACGGTAGCAAGAATCAAACAAGATATAAAATGATCTATTCTAGGTCTATAATTCTTCTAATCTGAAAACACTTTTTTCATAACAAGGTTGTTTCAGTGTTTCGCATCGGGTCGTTCTTCCGAACTCGATTATCCGCCAAACTCAAATAGTCTTGCTAATTCCGAAGTTTGTCGCGTAATATAGTAGGCACTAGAGGGTTAACGGTGGTTTATATTATTGCTAGCGGAAATAGATTTGTTACCTTTTGATTTAAAAGTATTATGTAAATCTACTCGACGCTTAAGTATCGTAGCTGATACCTCAATAATATCAGTTACTGTCTATAGACAGTAACTGATATTATTGAGGATTAGCTAATTCGCTGGTAATAGCGATTTTCACTTTCAATATCTGGTTAGTAAGACGATGAGTGACCTGTATTTTCTCTGGCGATTAAGGTTCCACACTTCATTCAACCCTCCCTTGAGCACCTCAAAATGCTGAGTTTCACATGTTGATGTAAGCAGTTCCACCTAGAGCTTCATCTCAACCAGTACTGCATCCGGCATTCAGCTGACAATTTACCGGTTCTTGTCTTGTGAACTTTTCTGGAGCGTCCTCGCATGTTCTATGTTTTTATTAGACGATAAAAATTGACTATATCATACACAAAGTCAATAAGTACTATCAGGAATTCCATGGGATTATGGAGATTACAGAATTTCATCTAAATAATGAACCGATTGACATCAAACTGCTGTTGAAAGCCCGAAAGGGCTATACGTCTGTTTCATTCTAGTGCGGGAATCCTAAGCAGTATGCATATACTATTCCACACGCGAGACTCAAACACAGGGCCTTCTGTTTCCCAATATCGTAGATCGGTTAAAGTTAGACATTAACGCCATTGGAAGCCGGTTCAATAGTTTAGAAGTTAGGTGTTTGCGCGGGACCAATAGTAAGTTCATCTATGTAGCTCCAAGAAACACTTAGATGTATGACTTATTTATCATACAAATTCGAAACCAAAAAGCCTCTGCTTTCCACAAAGCAATACAAATGTGTCGGAGTTTGTAGCATCTCATTTTTATCGAACGCTTACCATCAGTCATAGAGTTACTTCCTAATTTGTTCACTAAATTTCAGTCTATAGTTATTTTCTTATATACTTTAGTTCACAGGTTTTTCGAATCATTTGGAAACTCCCTATATTCAGTTACTGACCCGTGTATCTACAAAGTAATTTTACTGCATTGGAAATGGTATGTTCAACATTTTCTGTTTGTTTTTAACTGATTATAGGTTGACCTAAGTGAAAAGGATCTTAATGGTATGTTTTTATCGTAGTTTAGAGTCTGTAAATAGATGTTCACGAAATGTTTCTACTATTTGACACAAAAGGAGATGAAAAAATCGAGGCGAAAGATATTGGTGAAGTTGTGCGTGCAATGGGTCTAAATCCAACAGAGTCGGACATCGGAAAATATGGCTATCAAAATAATCCAAGTGGGTTTTTACAAATTTAATATACAGCAATTTCAATATAACGTAATCTGGTTTTGAAAATGACAGGAAACAATATTCTCTTAAGTCATTGCTTAATTTATATCAACGATAGTGTGTTGACCAACTTCTTGTTTTCAGTTCTCTAAGAAGTTATTCAAGTGTGGGATTTCTAGAGTGCATTGGAAATTAAATTGGTAATATTTGTCGAGATAAGTTTATCATAAAATATTTCGTTTGAGACTAATTATTTACTTTTTTAAATAATGGATATCGAATGCTACCAAAAATACAGGATTACTCTATGGGGTTTCAACCACTCGTTTTGTGTGTAGGCTAACTTTGTTATCTGACAGTTGAATCTGAAGTGTTCAACTTGGTCTCGTGTGCTGCATCTCTGTGCTAATGTGGTATGGCAACCCGAACTGATGTACGTACGTACGAAGTTCCACGTTCTTACTGACTGACTCTGACGTGTTCAAAATTGTATTTCAAGAATTGGCAATCGAATGGTTCAAGCATCGAAATTCATCGCTCCATAATAAGTATTTTCTTGCTGACCTTAATAATTGAAACAATTTGTCAGCACATTCTCTTTCTCTATATAAGTAACACCAATATCCTGTATATATATATATATATATATATATATATATATATATATAATGTTTTGTCTTCCCACACTTCCATTTCTCACTTCAGTGTGGCATTTAAGTAGCATATGATCTGTTTGGAATCACTCATTATATCAAGATACCATCGATGGATGTAATATTTTATTCCATGACGTTCTACTAGCAGGAATAGCTCTTCATGAAACTCCTTTCACTTCTGTTGTGCTTCTGCGATCTTAATAGGTATTGGTTAATTCTGCTAAAGAATGACTCATAAATCACAAATAGATAGTTTAAAAAGTCTGCACTAAAAGTGTTAGAGAAAGTAGTTATTTCATAATATCCATCTTACCAAGGTAATTATAGTAAGTCAACTGAAGAATATATAATTCTCTTCGTTGATTAAAGTATTTCTTTTATGAAAATGCTGACCACTCGGTAGTTTCATTATATATCCTTGTAGTCAAAGTGTGTTGTCTATTCTCTTTTGATTCTTGCTCATTGTTATTTAAAAAAGACAATACTTTTGATGCATAAACTGGCAGTAAAAAATTTGTTTTAATTCGGACGGTAAGTACATTTGCCATTATTTTACTTGCATGCTTGAATACTTTCAGACGTACATTTAAACTGGAAATTTTGTCTTAGATTGGTTTGTTTAATGATTAAAGCGCTCAGCTTCTAACCACTATATTACTTATTGAAACCTTGTCCCGCAAACTTGTCTGTGAGGCTATAAATTTTCATCGGCCGGGGTGGGTTAGGCATGTGCTGCGAATTCATATCCATCACCTACCTCGACGTCCGATGATAACTGGAGTAGGAGCAGGTTGAAATAAAGTTAGGGATGCCCAGACCCTAACATCAGTCCATGAAGCTATTGGCTATTGTAGTGAAGCATGCTAGTAGATGTAGAATACATTATTGGGGTCCCCTCAATCTTCGTAACTGATGGCTAGAGACATTGAGTGACGCACAGAATCTCTCACACCAATGCAGTTGCATCCGCTCTCTATTTTCCTCCAGGTCTTGGGTTTCAAAGTTATCTTGTACTTCATATTATACCAATTCATTCTTTCTGAATCATACTGTCCACTACTTTGGTATTCATCTGTACAGCTTCATCTTGTTGTCAGGTTGACTGGTTGATTTCATTTTGTGTTAATATGATGTGGAAACTTGAACGAATACACATGTGTCAGATTGTTTATAAAAGGCTGGTTCTGAATACATTGCGTACTTTTTCTATCTAATTCTACCTTTTTCCCCAATAGACGAACGTATCAGTTTCGAGTCATTTGTTCCCATTTATCATGGTTTATTAAAAGAACAGGTGGAAGTGGATCAGGAAACATTTATTGAGTCGTTTCGTGTATTTGATAAAGAAGATAATGGGTTAATTAGTGCAGCTGAACTAAGACATTTACTAACAGCACTAGGTGAAAAACTACGTGATGATGAAGTGGATGTATTATTATCTGGTTTAGAAAATAGTCAAGGTCTTGTGCCATATGAAGGTAAATGGTTTTTTATATAAAATACAAGATTATTATACTAGTCTCGTGTATTGTCTTTTCTGGTACCCAATTGTTTGCATTTTTCGATCTAAAAGTGCATAAGTTAGAGATACTACTATTGAGTTGACTCAACTTGTTGGTGCTGATGATGAGTCAGGACAATTATCTGTTGTTATATATCACTGCCTTATTTACCAATGACTGCTCAGGATTGTTGTGTAAACTTTTTCTTAAGCCTGGTTTAAGTTGTCACTATTCATCGTTCTTCGACCTTTCCGGGATAAATTTTCGAGCAGCTACTGATCTAGTTGGAGTCTCTAAAATCCATTGGTTTTTCCTAGTATTTTGTTTTCAGGTGCAGCCGCATAATCAGACTAAAAAGCGTTACGTCAAAAGAAACAACAGTCCTATACACATCCACACCACCAATAATCTTTCTAAACTCAGTGTCTTTCGAATTCTATACGGAAATTCCGTGCACATCAATCAGGTTTAGCTGCCAAAGCAGAATCTTCCCAGATTTGGCTTTTTCATATTGCCGCTAATTCGAATCACAACTACATAACCATGAAGTTTATTGAATATGGTGAATGCACCTACGCCAACGTAACCATGCCATCCAAAGACTCGAACCACTGGTTACGACAGTTACGTGAGCCCCAATGTGGTAGTATATGCCTGTTTACATTACTTAATCTAATTATCGCTGACTTCACTAATTGTTGTCACGTCTTGGTTTAGCTCCTCCAACTTACCCCTACATCAGACAACATTAACCGTTACGGTAATCAATGGTTGGGTACACTGTTGATAAAGATTTACTATCTCATCAATCGATTTGCCATCTTTACATAATACCCTGTTTCTAACATTCATCATTCACTACTGCCTGTTACCCCTCGTGGAGGAGCATAGACCTACCACTAGCACTCTCCATCCAATCCTGTCCTTGGCAATCCTTCCCAGTTGCTATTCATACTTTTCATGTCTGCTTCCGATTCCCGATGTAATGTGTTCTTCGGCCTTCCTCTTTTCTGTCTCACTTCAGGATTCCAAGTTAGGGCTTGCCTCGTGATGCAGTTTGGTGATTTCCCTATTCCTAACACAGTCATCGTATGCTCGGTGGTCCAAAACTACACAAGCAATGTTTCAAAGACATCTGTGATCGAACAGTATTAACCTACGAATATCCTCTATTTTCAATGTTCATATTTCACACTAATGAAGGAGAACGGAGCGAAATGTTGTGTAGTAAACTTGTCCTTTGCTTGGCAGACGGTCGATACACTCAACCACTTCACTCCCCATCATTAATTCAGACGATGACACCCACCAGTCTTGAAGCATCATTTTGCATTTGACAATGGACAATTGCATCCCAAACATCCTTGCACTGTTGCTAAAGGCGGTCAAAAGACCATGTATTTTGTATCTTTATTAAACAGAACTATACCATCTACATATCCTAAGTCAACAAGTGAAACACTAACTCTGCACATGAACAAAGTGACTCAATGTTGAATAAACAGAACTATGTGTGGTATAGATGGGTTACAAAAACCAACCCACAGAAAGGGTTCTAGTACTATGGAATATACCAAAATTTGAACAACAACGTAAGATAATTAAATGGTCAAATAACTTACTATGTAAGCTCATTCATTTATGGTTACTAGTAGTTAACTGTTGTTTCGACGAAACTTTCAGAATATAAGTTTACTGACATAGAGAGATGTATTTTAATCAATAATTCATACATATTGCATTTTCATCTATTAAGTACACTCTTCGCTCAGTGTATTAGTGAAGTAAGTTTAGATTTGTCTTTCAAACACGGCCCCATATTACGTTACTCGACTGGAGCTATATAATGATTGAAACTTGAGGAGTTCTGAGCTCTTATTATCATTCGTTTCCCCCTCTCATGATTGACTAAAACTGGTTAAATTCTTAAGGTCATCCAACTATGTGATACCTTTACCTATATATCTCATTGAAGGTACGTAAAATAATCTAAACTATATATATATATATATATATATATCCTTTTTTATCTTTCTTTTCTTTCAACAGCTTTTGTACAACGTGTTATGAGTTAAGAACAACCTTCATTCTGTACCCGTAAATCATTAACGTACCCTATTAAATATGTTGATTTTTGATAAGTTGTGAAATAAATTGTCAGCTTTTTTGATTATTTTACAACGTTAAGCAAGTTCTATAAACGAGCTTATTGATTTGTTATATATATATATATATATATATATATATATATATATATATATATATATATATACTTTGTTTTGAAACTCGACCAGTACTTTATTTGAAGTGAAAGAGACAAATATTTGTCTGACTCGCACAAATTTTTGATGTATGTTTCACCTGCCCACTCTCCTGTACAGTAAAATAATGTCAAGTTTTCATTTTAATATGTGCACTTTCTGAACGAAGGATGTTTTCTCGAACCATTAAGAAATTTCCCGAAGCCAACTATAGACGTCCCTTAATTTCTAGTAAGAATTCGTGGCCACTGAAATTCAACCATGTCGTATGTGAGACGGTTATCTACTTCAAGCATTAGAAAATGGCCGGCTATCCTGGATTGATTGAGGTTAGACATGTATACTGTTGGGTCCTGATTTTTGTCTGGAGGTTGAGCGTTCGCATGCGAGACTGAAGGTTCTGAGTTCGATTCCCTTTGACGTGGTCACAGATGTGTACTACTGAGAAGTTCTATATTAAGACGAAACGGCTGTCTAGTGGTCTAGCTTAGGCCAGTTTGTGATGTAAATTATGTAAATGTTTAGAAGGTCAAATCTATTGTTGTAGCTGAAGTTTGGTGTACTAGTTGAAATTTACTCATTATGAATCTAATTTATTCCCCGTAAACAGGACCGTTTCTATGTTACCACGTTACACTTTGTTTGTGTCGTTAATCAAATTTCTTGTGTGCAGTACCTTCGAACTGTTGGCTTTGGCGATCTAGCCGCGATTTATCTCTGAAATGTTTTAAGTCAAATTTAATGTCCTGCATTGATGTTGTAACTGGGAGGAATTATGTATTCAATTTAACCAAACAAGCAATATTGTTGTTATCTGACCAAAAGGTAAATGTGAATACATTAAACTAAACAGTGTTCCAAATAGGTGAATTCATCACATAATGCATATATGGGACTTACAAAATCAATACATTATGTGCTTTCTTTAAAACAAAAATTACAACTTAATTGCTTAGTGGCGTATTTCGCTCATTTGCCACATAATTTTGTCGCTTTTTATGTAGACATTGAGGTTTTGTGACTTGTTTCCTTGCGAAAATTATACTCCTGCAAGGTAGATCACTTGATTGATGGATATGATACTGTAGTAATAGTTAATCTCTGCTAAACTGATAATGTATTCGTGGTACTAATATGATTGTTAAACCCCTACTAATCGATCGAATAGTTTCCGTAAGACACTTAATTAACTCCTAGATGAATAATTATACACTCAACAATTACAGCTATTATTTGTGTTCGTATGTAAAAACTTGAATCGAAATAAGGTATGATGGAAAGAGCAGTTACAACAGCAGTGAATAATTATTCACTATCAAGTGTTCGATGTGTAAATGATGGTCCTTTGTCGGTTATGTTGATCCATGGTTGCTCTGTGTATAAATGAAGCAGCGACTGTTTACAATTTAAATAGTCTGTTTTCAACCAGTAATTCCCAGGCGTGGCATCTGTAATCACTTAATTAACTTCTTACTTGTAACGAAATATATAAACCCGAGAATGCTACAGATTTTTGATCACATGCGTCTTTGAAATACTTCGTGTGTTATGAAACGATTGAGTGAGTAGTGTCGAGGTTGGTCATAAGGTAGGTGCTAGGCAAACCGGCTGATGAGTTAGGGAATATTTAATAATTGAGGTAGTCGAAACATGTCTCAAGTACACATAACCATTGCCTACCTCAACGAACAATGTTTGCCGGCGTACGAGTAGGTTGAAATACAACTGGAGACGGTCAAATCAAATTATGGAATTATACCATACTGTCATTAACCGTCGGTCTGAGGCAATTGGTACTTATGGATAACGTGACTACAATTTATGCGATTGGTGAGTGGAAACGTTAAATGATGTGACTTAGAATCATTTGCAATGCCTCAGTTGTCATCGTTTGGATGACATTCGTGTATACACACATCATTGTCCTTTAAAACTATTCTTACTCTTTCACACTTTCGTTGCTATTACACTATTTCGATTGTTTTGCTATTCACGTTGTTGATTTCATCTCGTCATACTATATATACTCTTTTCCTTGTTTGTTTGTTTCAATCTACAACTTGATTAATTAAGTTATAATGATTTATACATGATTGAATAGATCTGTAAAGTTCCTATGATCATGACGTATTCAGAAATGCAAGGCCTGAACAATTGAAACACGATTTGACTAATCTATTATTTATATCTTAAACATGGAAATATAAATCCATTTTGTCTTTAATCACTACTTTGTTTACTTACAAATCAAATGTCAACTAGAACTATTAAACATCAAGATAAATGTGCTAATGGATGACTACATGGATATTTCTCAATTTATTTGATCTTATCGAATCCAGTTTTACTGAGATGAATTTGAGTCTCCGTATATGGTAATGCCTTAAATGATTCTCAAAACTTTTCATTAATTTTATGAGAAATTGATCCTCAAACATATACTATTTAAAAAGTTTAACTGAGATTGAGTATCACAGTTTGAACTTCGTGTATGGGCATGTTCAGTTGACAATTCCCAAACAGGATGAAACAGATGTCCCAGATCTCATTCTTACGTATTCTTCAACTTATAGCTAATTGAGAATATCAAGGCAATTCTCTCAAGATGTACGTACTCTAATAGAGACTGATTGATTGCAGTCATTAACATCAACAACGACAAAATAAAGCCCTTACAAATAAAAGCGAATTAGTTGATGTTGGGATATCTTTATAGATTTTTCTGTAAGCTAATTTTTATGATCCTACAATATTTTATCAATTGGCAGTCTTTAACCCTCGATCACCAGCTATTCTGGTTCATTTGATGCTGAAAGCGTATCTATTATTTAGAAGATTGGAATAGAACTCAAAATAAGCTTAAACATAGGCTAATGCACTGGGTTGTTTCATCGACTGATAGAACTTTGATGTCTATAGTGAAAAACTATTTATATCAAATCACAGTATTTAATTCAGACAGTTGAACCACCATTGCTTCATACGAATAAAATTTTCTTATCTGACAGTTTCTGTCAAAGTATTTCTTGTCTGTTATTTGAGTCAGTTTCATAACTAAATGATATGATTAAGTAGAAAACTCTTTTGTTGGTATTACACTCAATTAAGCTGGATAATTTATAGTTGTGAAGCTAACGCTGTTATTCTGACCAATATTAACCTTAAGTTAAAGAAATCGTTGGGGATGTTCTCCAAAAGTAAGCATTGTGACTCAACTATTCAGCCAAATGGAACACGAAACATGTGAATCAATCAACGGAGGTAGACATAAATCATCTCCATTATTTCGAAATATTCCTTGTCACTAAGATTTAGTAAATTGTTAATACTTATTCCGTTCAACTTATCCAACTCATTTAATTCAAATAAATGTTTGTTCGTATACTCAACCTTGAACTACACTTTGCATGTGACAGTTGGTAATACTACCACCCGACTCTCCAAACCAAAGTAGTTACTTTGGTCGAATCTACTTGTAATATATTGGTTGAAATCTGAGTAATTTTTAACCGTTTTACTCTGTGTACATTAGTGTATTTCTATACTAAACCCAATTATGTAGTATTGTAGTTTATTTTAGTACATATATTGTTTCTAATTTTAGATACATTTTAATAATTAACCAGAACTATTCACTTATTGATCAAAAACTCATTCTACTGCATATTTCTCTTGCACAAGTTTATGTCAGTGTGGGTGTTAAACTACCAGCCTGTTAATAGAAGTAGCGTATAAAATACAAATTTCAAATGAGAATAAAATATGCAAATGATTCTTAATCAATAATCACAAATAATCAAACCATTAGTCATTTAGAAAGTATTCACCATTCTTACGGTGACAGGAAACAGAATACTGACTTTGTTGAGTGTATGTGTATATGTGTGTCTGTGTATATCATCTTATGTATGATCTTATCTGTTGATTTACACAGAATACACGTGCCTGGAATTACACCAGGTATACACTCTGTAGATTTTATCAGAAGTTTTGTTAAGTGTATACATCTTTATCACAAAATTCAATATATATTTTAGCATTTCATGCGAATTGTGGGTGTATAGAGTTTAAATTTGCAATCTGCTGATTGAAAATTTAATGTTTTAACCTCACACTCATTTTAACTATTTTATAACATGATGGACGCACCGGAGATATAATTTGCCTTTTTTATAATATAAGCAATATTTTCGATGCTCAAAAGTTCCGAAAATACTACAAAATCATCAGATGATGAAAAAGGAGAACTTTGAAATTGTTGTGTTCTTTGAGCTGCATGATCTAGTGGTGAAACTTCTATCCTTCTAGACAACATTATTAGCATGTACTTAGAAGAGGAGTAAGGTATTAGTAAACTCTCCACGATTAATCAACTGCTTATTCTGTTGAGATGTAACTTATTTGATTATTTATAATCATGTCGTATGACCTACTTTGTATGCTTCCGGTACTAACAGGATGAGAAAAACCATCCATGTATGTTTGCCCTATGATTATTACTTTGTTTTCCGTTATGTGTATCGTTTCTTCCATTGTAATATGTATTAACAGATAATTTGATCAACTTATAGTCGTATTGCAACAATCATATTTCTACTATTATAACTATTACTGTGATTGTTATTACAATATTTATAATTTCCATTTGTGCTCACTGAGTTCTACCTGTTTTAGATTGTACTATTCCGCAAATTCTTAGTTCGCACATTAATTCAAACACTTCCAATTATCCTACTTGAGTCACTATGGAGTCAAATCTTGGACAGCTGGATATTAATTCAAGTTCAGATGACTTTGAAGACTACATGGAGCGATTCGAAATCTGGTGTGTGACTAGAAAATGTAATAAATATTATCAATCTACAGGTTGTTTCCCGATGTTTATCGTCAAAGAAGCTTATAACTTGCTAAGGAATTTGGCTTTTCCAAAAACACCAATATCATTAACATATGGATCTCTCGAGAAATTACTACATCTAAAGCATTTGGTATGACAAAATTCACATGAATT